GTCAAATTAGCAAGAACTCACGCGCATTTACGTGCGCTTCGCTCTGATTGGCTGAAACAAAAATCTCAATATCTTTTCCGTTTTTTGACGAAATGGTATGAAATTTAAAATATAAGCATACTTTAAGATGTCCTACAACATGATGTATAACATTTGTCATGAAAGCATGCGCATGCACGTGCGCTGCAATCTGATTGGCTTAAACTTCAAATGGCTGTAACTCCCTTGTTTTTCAACCAACCACGATAAGATTTAGAACATAGACAGACACAATAGACTCCTATAAGAAGTTACGGTCATCATGCACATGCATGCACGCGCATGCACGTGCGCTTTGCTCTGATTAGCTGAAACAAAAATCTCAATATCTTACTTGTTTTTTGACAAAATACTTTGAATTTTAAAACATAATCATACCTTAATACGTCCTAAACTATGATATATAAAAGTTTTCAAGAAACCACGCCCATGCACGTGTGCTGCGATCTGATTGGCTTAAACTTTAAATGCCTATAACTTTTTTGATTCTCAACAAAACAGGATGAAATTTAGAATATGAATAGATATGACGGATTCTTACATTATGCTACTATCAAACTTGAATGCAAGGACTTGCATGCACGTGTGCGCGCGCAATGCGTTAAATGACCGATTTACTTGATATAGTCGTAATTTTTTTTATGAAACGTTTCAAAATTCAAAGAATAGAAACACATTAAAAGTGTAGTCACGATGATATAGCTTTCATGCATTGCACCTTCGCGCGCGTGCAATGATCAAATGACTTGTATACTTGATATGGCCGTTACTTTTATATTTCTTTATGAAATGCTTTGATGACCTTGACCTTTGACCTTGACCTTTGACCCCTTGACCCAAAGGTCACAATCCAGCTCAAGTTCGTAGATGTATTTACAAACTCACTTTAACAAATGCTTAGAATAAAAAAGTCAACCCCCCCCCTTCTCCTTAAAAAAAAAATCAATAACAACGTAGAAAATTTCTCTGAAACTCGATCAACACCTGGGATCGACATAAAATTTCACTTAAGGTGCAGAAAAGACTTCATAGAAAGTTTCCTGAAAGTTTTACGGTAAGTCTCTAAAGTATATAGAAATTATGAATTTTTACGGCAAAAATTACAAATTCTGTCGTGTTTGAAATTTAAGTGCAGACGAACAAAGATATGATATAAACCTTTTAAAGCCTATTTCTCCAGATGTCGTTAATAGCATTCAATTCTACTGATATGAATTAATATTTTAATACCAAGCATTCTTCTTTTATTTCACCATTGAAATTTATCTGAATTTTTTTTAGAATTACACAATCCCCAGAAATAGCGAGTTTCGGTATATTAAAAAGCAATACACGTTTCTTTCCAGTAAAACCTCACGTGTTTGAATTCATGAAAAAATATTGATAAGGGGGTGTTAAACAATACCTGTCACATTAGCTGACACCAAAAAACCAGGGTACGTACACGACATTTTCTGATTTATTTGCATATGCAAACAGGGCTACCCTCAAATCCACGTGTTTTCCATGTCTTTATAAACATCACAAAAGCACCCCAGGAAGTAGCCTCCTATGCCCTGGAGAAATAGTTCCTGTCAAAAAACTTTATTTATTTATAGAGTAGATAAAATTTCCTAGGCACAGGTACCAGAGTTGTCAAACTGGCCTGGAAGGAAATTAAAAAAAACTCTCAAAAGAAAGGAAAATCGGCTTAATGTATGGACCTACAATTGACTAAGTTCATTTTGATTGGTCAATTACCGGTGTGGTACCCCTAGTCGCCTTGAACTTATGTCATCTGATGGGATTTTTTAAAACTTATCACATGAACCAAAATTTACACCTGATTATCTTCTAGGTAAAAAGATATTACACCTGAAATCAAGAAATCCCATGGGATAATGGTGGGATTTTTTCTCCTAACCAATATCCCACCATTATTCTGTGGGAGAAAAAGGTATTCTGTGGGATTTTTTCTCCCATAGAAGTTTAAAAATCCCATAAATGCTTTATAATGGGACAAAATCTCCCATATACTTGTTTATAGAAAATAATCTCCCATCTCTTTATAAATGTGGGATTTATCCCATATTCATTTCAAAATAGATAAAAATTCTCCCATGGGATAAAGAAACAATAGTTTTAAACCAAATAGAGAAACTATTGAACAGTTGAACTACTATTAATTATTTACTTTCATTTAACTTTTTAAGTTATATGTTTCCTAAATTATTTTTTTTTTCATTTCTTAAAATTAACAATTTTTGGGGTAATGTTTAATTTTTTCAATGAATCAAGATTTTACATGAAATAGCATTAAAATCAAAAGTGGTTTATCTCTATAATTTTCAGGTTATTTTTTCTTGTAATTAAAAAAGCAATTTCCCTTGTATGTAGATTACCTTATTTTATTCTTTTGATTGGGAAAAATAAAAAATGCAATTAAGAATGAACAAATCTTTTTTTTTTGTTTATTTTCCTCCTAATCATTTAGGTTAATTTATTGCATATGTGCCATTTGTCAAGCTTTGCAACATGATCACGTTGTTAGATCTTTGCCTGTTTGTTGCACTAAACTGGTAGGTTTCCAATTAAAAAAAAATCACATGAAATTGGGTCATATCAGTCACTCTGAGATTCTTAGAGAGTTTAAAACTTATTCAGATGCACAAACTGTAATAATTTACCTAATTTTTACTTTAAATTTTCTTGATCCTGATCATGCCTTGTTTTGTTCCAATGACAGCTGGAAATGAATTTACACATAACGAACCCGATCTGACAAATGTACAGAAAATAATGTTTGGAAAAAAATCAGCCATCTTCAATCATTATGCACATTTATTGGTAGTTTGCATTAAAAAAATTTAACAACCTTTTCACTAATTTCAAAACTTTCTACCTACACCTTAGAAACATATCAAGAATTTTTGACAGTTTATTGAACCCGTTCAAAAATAAAAATGATGAAAGGGCATGGATCCAGAATATTTGAGGTGGTACTCTACTCATTGCTTCATATCATCCAGAAGAAAACAAGTTTTCCTTAATTCTGTTACTTCTTTAGTAAATGTACTATGCTGATCTTTTACTTATTATTTTTTGGTATATATATAATAACTATAAGCACCATTGACTTTGGATTCAACTGATCAGTAGTCAAGTCACCTTAAGCCTTTGCAAGTTTCTTCTTTATTTAACGTCAGCATGCACCTTGATTTTGGACACCCCATATTAACACATAAAAGAAGAGGACCAAACCACAGTTAATACCCAAGCAGATGCAAATATAGCACAATGCATGTATCTAACATCTTATTTTAACTAGATTGGTTAACTTCAGTGGCTTAAATTTATTCAACTTCTTTCAGGAAGATTTTCAATTTTCTTGTCATAAATGCATATTGTCAATTATTAGGCTTCCTGTCAGTTTGTCTAGATCTACATATATACCCCTACCCTACTTTTCTTGCATTGTGTTCTACTTATTTAAACATCATAAGCATACTATGCCGAAATGGTGTACAACTTCATTTTCAGAAGAAAAACTGACTGCGCCCACACTGGGGAGCGAACTCCGATTGTCAGTCCGATGCACTACAGATTACGCCACAGACGCCGTTATAAATATCAATGTACTGTAATATATGAACTTAAATTCAAATATTTTACACTTAAGGAGCTGCAGAACTGTAGCTCTTCGAAAAAATATATGTTGACAGACTAGAGAGCTACAGTACCACCCAGTGAAAAAACTGTATATTTATTGCACTCAAAGAAAAAAACGCTCGGTTCTGAATTAATTCTTCACAATTCTTACATCAATTGCAAAACAATGGGCCACATCGCTCACCTGAGAAGCTTTGACCGTTCCACTCCTTACCAGATTTCCCACTTGTAATACATATTGTGACATATTTAGACAATTTGAAATCTACACTACCATATGATGCTTTGATTCCCCATTGTAAAACTTTGATTCTTCATTGTGGCCCCACCCTACCCCCAGGGGTACTTTGATTCCCCATTATCACCCTGCCCAACCCCAGGGGTCATGATTTGCATAATTTAGAATCTACACTACCCCAGGATACTTCCACATAAGTTTCAGCTTTTCTGGCCCAGTGGTTCTTGAGTAGTAGATTTTCAAAGATTTTTCCCATATATTTCTATGTAAAACTTTGATTCCCCATTGTGGCCCCACCCTACCCCTGGAGTCAAGATTTAAAAAAATTTAGAATCTACACTATATTAGGATGCTTCCACACAAGTTTCAGCTTTTCTGGTCCAGTGGTTCTTGAGAAGAAGATTTTTAAAGATTTTTCCTATATATTTCTATGTAAAACTTTGATTCCCCATTGTGGCTCCGCCCAACCCCCAGGGTTCATGATTTGAACAATTTAGAATCTTCACTACCCCGTGATGCTTCCACATAAGTTTCAGCCTCATGAGTTCCCCATTTCATTGAATAGAGGTGCACATCCCTTCATTTTACATTTAAGGACGTACGCAAGGTACCTTACCTACTGATAATTTTTCAAGATATTCTAAATTTAAACTTATAATATATGTACGGTCTACCATATTACATATTTTTAGACAAAAAATCAGCATGCATTTCCATGGATTTTGAACAGATTGAAAACTTTTGCATTATTCAAAGAAAAATGTACAAAAATTACAAAACATATAAAATTCCAGATTTTTTTTCATCAAATTTGTTCTAGAAGAGATTTACAAATCCATGTATAGACAATAACAATATTGCACACAGGACCTTCATTTAGTGGAGCTCTTCAACTCCAGGGAAGAACCCAATAAACTGCAAACTACATTGCGTATGACCTTAAATGCCTATTTCTATAAGAGAAAAATAAATTAAAGAACTTGTTCTAATCAAAATAATGGAAAAAAGACCTTATTTGAGCCTTTAAATTTCATTTTTAATTAAGAAATTAGACAGATGAATAAAAAGAGTAATATACAATAAAATATTTATTAAATTAATTCTCTTGGTTCCATTCATTAGATATTCAATATTAGAGTCAACACTCTTTACATGAATGAATTATCAAAAGTTTTGTCCTTAAAGTTTTGGATCCACAGATCATGAGATAATGTCTCCTTTTATGTGTATGTATCTGCATATACTGAAAAAAAGAAAGTTGCTGTGTGATGAAAAAGATAAACTATGAAGTCTCTGATTAGACTGTAGCTCTACTGGTCTGTATATGTATAACAAAGAAATAGTAGCACTTGGATTTGAAACTTTGCACACGTGTTGCAACAGGCAGCAATAAATAGAATTGTGTATCTAAATGTAGTCTACTTGTGTTCCACATTATATTGAAATCATACCAAAATTGTAGGTGGAGTAGCGGTTTAAAGGAATTTTACAGAAATTTCTATTTTAGTAACCATGGCAGCACCATTCATTGAAATTTTTAAAAAATCTTATGTACCTTAGTGCAGTCTACTTGTGTGCCTAGTTATATTGAAATCAGAATAAAACTGTAGGAGTATTAGCATTTTGAAAAATTACAGACAGACAGACAGCTAGAAGGATGGACGGGGACACCTTCTTATTGCATAAGCTCTTCTGGTCTCTGACCAGTAGAGCTAAAAAGAATACCAAATTTGATTTTTTTTTTCAATGTTAAAGAAATAAAACTGCAAAATTCAATTGTAAATGGTTGGTTGCATACTAATTATTCAAAGTAGTTTTTGTTGTATGGTTTGAAAAGTTTTATTATTCATTCTCTCTATTTTCACAAAGAATTACCTTTGCATTTCTTGTATTTACAAGGGGGAAAAATCTTCAAGTGGTACATGTACACTATATGTCAGCTACTATAACTTCATGTTCTATTAAAGAAAAAAATAGAATAAATCAAACAATACCAATTACATGTACATGTATAATAACAAAGATGGATGGATTAAATTTTTCATTAAATTAGAAAATGAATTGAATATTGATCACTCAAATTTCTCATTCCAGCCAAAATGACTGACACTATACTGGGTAATTTAATTAACCCTACAGAGGTCGAAGTATAAAAGTATGAATTATTTTCATCTATCAACAATGATCAGTATACCATAAATGAAACTTTGCGCATGTTCTGCATACATTTACCGGTATCTGTATTATAGCAGTTTCATGCCCTTGAGAATTTTTCATGAAGTCAGATGATGCCATAATATTTCCATGTCTGTTTTTTTTTTTTCTCTGTGGTCTGTTTTCTCTGTACTCTTTGAAAGTAAACTGAGTTGATTTATTGATAATTCTACCAGAATGTAAATTAGGCAGGTCAAAAGGTCAGAAGCTAAGAAGGCCTAATATGCATGAAAAACTTGTGTGCACCTGTCTTTGTGGCTGACGCTAAGGGGGCCAAATATGCATGAAAATCTCCAATGGAAAGAACTAATATAGGCCGTTGGCCTGCTGTTCAATCCATATTCACTGTATACTTTTCTGTATATTTTGAATAAAATACTTCTTAAACTAAAATCTTGTGCGGCTACCTTTGTGTTTGACATCAGTGGGCGAGGACTATTGAAATTGGCATGGGAGTCCTTCAAGTGTAATTTAAATCTTTGTCTACATTAACATTGCAGGTTATCCTGCAATATTCACGAAAACGCAGTCTTTATTTCTTTTAAAAACATTCAATATCATATCAATTCTAAGAAAAAAAGTCATATTATTAGTAATAATTAAAGCTAGAACTTTTTAAAATTTCATTTCCAATTTATAATAGAAAGAATATTTTCACAAATAAATATGTAAAAAAGAAAAGGTCCTAGCATTTTTGTCTCTTATGATTTACTTACACATAAGCTCTTAAATTAATATATGATGTATATTTTTTCCCCTCAAAAAAAATGAACATAACTTAATAATGATATTACTAAGTACCGGGGATGTATTCATGGTATAAAAAAATGAGTTTAGCAGTATAAAGATTGATTTTTCACTCAAAGTTTTCAAACTGTTTTTCAGATATTTAATATTAATAAACATGATAAAAAAAATCATTGATTACATCAAAAATCATGTGGGTACATGCCCTATGTAAACTTCAGAGGATCAATCAATTTTCTAACAGAGATATAGTAATTTGATATTTGGATACTTCGAAACAATATAAGTAAGAGTTTTGGGGGTTATTAGTTACCGGTATGTCAATCATGACATGTACAATAAGCACTGACCCCCATATCTCAAAATTTATCTTGACAGCAAAAAAAAAAAAAATACTTTCAACACATGCAATGTTTGTTATTAATCCCTAGTTCACTACTGTAGCAAATAGCCAAATACCATGTCAGAGAGGATAATATAATTAATTTTTTAATCAGTAATGCTGATGACTGTGATCAAGATACTTCTGAGCACTGAAATATATATTTTTAAGTCATCAGCTAGTGTACATATTGCAAATTAATAATTCAAAATTTAGATTTATGACAATATATATTTTTAAAAATTCACAAAGACATTTTTTTCATCAGCTAGTGTACATATCTGAGGAAATTCGAACAAAAAAATAATAATTCTAGATGTGTATAATTTTTGTTTACAAACATCATGTGGAAATTCGTTTTTTTTCTTTGGATTATTTACTTTGTATAATATACTACATGAATATCCCCATCGGTTAAATACTGTAATTTAAACAATGCATCTGCAAACAAAGAAATGAAAACATTTTTAATCATGTTTACAGTGACAAAAATTCTCTCCGTATCTCTAAAATAACATTTTATTTGCTGACAAGAGAAAAGTCGTAAACATAAGAGAATGTTTGATATATTGTTAACATTGTTTTTGTTTTTATTCACCAGCGAAATACTCAAGGTAATCAGGTTTGTTGAACTGTAACTTGTGAATTACAGTCAAATTTAGACATGATAATATATATTTTTAAGTACAATCATCAGCTAATTTTCGAATATTGAGAAATTCGAACAAAGGAATAATAATTCCGATGTGTATAATTTTTGTGCCTTTAGAATATAATTATAAGCTATTAATATCATGCTTTTTTAATGTTTAAATAAATATAAAATCAAGATTTTTTCATCAGTGAAAGGAATCAGGTAGATCTATCTTAAGACTTTAACAAAAAAAAAGAGAATCTATAAGGGGATAGGTGTTTAACATGCTTTTAATGAAACAAATAACATGCGGAAATTCCACTCGTTTTTTTATGTTTTTTTCTTTGGATGGTATTGGGTAATTCTAGGAGTAATGCATCCTTCTGCACAGAATTTTTAAGAAGTAAATCCATAGATAGAATATTGCGGCTTCTTTTTTATTTATTGGTTTATCTTATTTTTTTAATTTAAACAATGCACAGTTCACGAGAAAACAAAGAAATGAAAACAGGAATATTTTAATTTTCAATTTTTTTTTTGTTTTAAATACTGTCATGGGTAATAATGGTAATTCAAATGTCCAATATTATCTCTCCGTATCTCTAAAATAAAATGTTTCCCTTGAAAAGTCAATTTTATTTGCATGGTCAGCGGGATATTCAGTACAAGTGTATAAGTCCAGTCAATACATAGCCCCCATAAAGCCCCTTTTTTTTTCTTCACGACATTTTGATATATTAATTGTTAACCTTCTATGATGTTCAAAATTGTTTTTATTCACCAACCATGCATCCTTCAATACTCAATAGTAACCTATTTTGTTTTAACCCCATTTTTTGTATATTAGAATGACAAATTAAAAGCTATACTAGTGGTATGTTTCATAAATATGTTTTTATTCAAGCTTATATTTTGAATCTTTGACAAAAATCAATACTCAATAGTAACCTATAAATTGTTTAAACCCCATTTTTGTGAAACGTAGAATGAAAAATTAAAAGCTATACGAATATTCAATTTACTTTCATAAATATGATTTAAGTTTATATTTTCGAATTCTTTGACAAAAATTTCTATCATCTGTCCTTTAACACAGGTTAAAGGGGATGGGGGGTATACAATTTTATATTAATTGTCTGCTATCAATTATGAATGATGTAATATAAAATTAAATTGTTGGATTTAATTTGTAAACTGAAAATGAAAAAAAATATATATATGACTTTAATCCGAAGGTTAAGAAAATTATGGAGTTTGTTTGCCATGAATTTCTATTGTAGATTCAGTTGTTAAATCGACTTGCTTTTTGTTAATATCCCTTGTGTATGTTTTGTTAGTTCCAAGCAAATTGTGACAGTTTTGCTACCTGGGGAAAACAAAAGACTCTTAATTGCCCGATGGGGTACCCCATCGAGATCTGGGGTAAAGATATTGGTCTCTCGGAAGTTAGCAAGGGGAGGGGTGTTAGGGTTTAACAGTAGACTTGAGTTACTTTATTAGTTTTCAAACATTACTGCAAGAGTAAGAAAAACAGGTAAAATACTACAGAAGTTGATGCTTTTTCTGTGAAATCAAACTCAGATGACAAATATATATATAATAAAAAAAATCACATTGAGCTTAACTTAGGATCGACACCCCCGTCCAAAAATATAGTCCCGTCCAAAGCTAAAGCGTTTAGAAGTCAACAGAGTCAATATCTCGAAGTGGAGTCTTGTGACACGTTGATGAATATTTCCTATTATTGTTTTTTATCGATTTAATAAAATTAAATCATGAAAAAAAATTATAGCTTTAAATCTAGCTTAAATAATACCTATGCCCGAAATAGGACACGATAGCATAATACGATACTCTTTACAGAGTTATGTCCCTTTCTAGAATAAAAGTGCTAGATTTAAAATTCTTATGGTCTTTACGTTTATCTGATTTATATTTTCATCTTAACAATAATAGCCAATGTAACTTTTATTTTAGGGAACATTGGACGAAAAGGAATTTTTTGAAAGTTTAATAAAGAAAAATGACAATTTATAGATCCTTGATTTAAATTATAGTAAATAATCAAAACGGTTCTCTTAGAATTGTTGGTATATAAAGAAGATAGGATACTTTCTGAAATATATATGTTCTAACAGCTTGTTTTAATGTTGTCGTTTCTCGTTTTTATTTTAATTTTAAAAATTTGTAAATAATCAACAAGAAAAAAGGACTGAACCACTCTGAAATTCTTAGAATTTCATGTAAGGTTTGGTATATAAAAACTGATTGTAGAAAGCACAAATGTGAGGATAATTTGTTTAAAAAATCTTATTTTGAAGTGCAACACATTGTATTTATACGGAAGAAATTTATCATTCAAAAATGGAGATATGGTTCTCTGTAAACGCAGTTTGTTTTAATGTATTTTGTGGAGCCCCCAAAACATAATTAAAAGCCCTTATTTTATCAAGCAATAATTAGATTGCTGAAATATTAAATTATTTTACGAGTCTTAATGCACAAAACTAATGCCGGTGAAAACTTGCTATACATTAAAAGCTTTATAAACTACATTTCACTTTTTGAGTGAAATGTTGTTAAAAATCTATATACTGTAACTTCTTAAGATGTTTTTTTTCATGGAATCAATTGATTAAAAAAAGTATTTGAGAGGATAATATACAGAAGAAATGAAATCAAAAAGTTATTTGCCAACGAATGAAATTTTAATTCGAATTTATATAAACTCTCTAGATGCGCGCATGCGTAGCCTGTCGTTTACCAATTGAATGACCCAATTGAAATTCGGTGAAAAATAATCCAGTAATCTTGTATTCAAAATGTACAAACAATTCATGTTCAGATAGATTCAACACTTGTGAAGTAAAACAAAGGGCTAATTGCAGGCATTCTGCAGGTCACTGTGTTGGTTGAAGTCTCTTTCAGCTTTGTTTTCATGTACATGTATTTAAAATCTAATGAGATTGTACAAACTTAGCAATGCACATCAACACCAATACTGAGTAAGAGCAGAAAGCTTAAAGATTCATACATTTTATCGTTATTCAGTAAAACAAAAAATAAAATTAAAACAATTTTAAATATCAAGCAGATTCAATGTTGCCCCAATATGCAGATTTCTCTTTTTCGCTACGAATATTATGAAACAAAAGTATAAAAGTTGTATGCTTCTAAAAATTCTACATCAGTTGTGCCCACCTCCTTTAATGTACCCCAAACCATCTCAAAAGAGTACTGAAAAATGCTTCAAAAAGCCTGATTGTATTTCAGTATCTTTGATTTGATTTGCTATAGAATTTTCAAGAGTTCTAGAGTACTTTATTGATTATGGAAAGTTGTAAAAGAGTGATCAGATTGAAATCATTGAATGATGTCCGATTTCACACCTTTGAAAATATTTTGTAAAATTTAGCCTGAAGGAATATTCTCACACCTTTTTTCAGAACTTCAATGTAAACGATGATATACACATATATTCAACAATTCATCTCCACACCGACTGATGATTACACGAGCCATTTCCTGTTTATTATCAATATGTGTATATACTTTGTTTTGGAGTAACTTCTCTAAAATATATTTTCCAAGAAAAAAAAAACAAAAACATTTTAAAATGTTGATTAATGTACATACAAAAATATGTTTTTTTTTCTTTATCTCTTTTTTTATACTGCAAAACAATATAGAAATTCTGATAATGTAAAAAGACTTCAATTTTCATAGGGAACATATGCCATGTTAATTAAAGTCACCTAATCATAATCATGGTGTGTTCTCTTGAATGACCATATGAACTTTTTTATTTCTCAATGAAATTTTACCAAGTTGCTATTATTTTGATTGCAATAGCATCTACTTTCTACATGTAAAATGATAAATTCTGAGAGGACTAAAATTCCAAAGGGAAAATCCATCATTATGTTATACTCTGTCAATCGTACTCAGGGATGTTCTCTTGAATGACCATAACTTTTTTATTTTTCAATGAAATTTGGCCAAGTTGGTATTATTTTGCTTGCAATAGCCTCTACTTTCTACATGTAAAAATATAAATTCTAAGAGGATAAAAATTTTTATAGGGAGAATCCATCATTATGTTATACTCCGTCAATCGTACTCAGATGTGTTCTCTTGAATGACCATAACTTTTTTATTTTTCCATGAAATTTTGCCAAGTTGGTATTATTTTGCTTGCAATAGCCTTTATTTTCTACATGTAAAATGATAAATTCTAAGAGGACTAAAATTTTTGTAGGGAGAATCCATCATTATGTTATACTCCCTCAATCGTACTCAGATGTGTTCTCTTGAATGACCATAACTTTTTTTTTTTTCAATGAAATTTTGCCAAGTTGGTATTATTTTGCTTGCAATAGCCTCTTCTTTCTGCATGTAAAATGATAAATTCTAAGAGGACAAAAATTTTCATAGGGAGAATCCATCATTATGTTATACTCCGTCAATCGTACTCAGGTGTGTTCTCTTGAATGACCATAACTTTTTTATTTTTCCATGAAATTTTGCCAAGTTGGTATTATTTTGCTTGCAATAGCCTCTACTTTCTGCATGTAAAATGACAAATTCTAAGAGGACAAAAATTTTAATAGGGAGAATCCATTATTATGTTATACTCTGTCAATCGTACTCAGGTGTGTTCTCTTGAATGACCATAACTTTTTTATTTTTCAATGAAATTTGGCCAAGTTGGTATTATTTTGCTTGCAATAGCCTTTTCTTTCTACATGTAAAATGATAAATTCTAAGAGGACAAAAATTTACATAGGGAGAATCCATTATTATGTTATACTCCTTCAATCGTACTCAGGAGTGTTCTCTTGAATGACCATAACTTTTTTATTTTTCAATGAAATTTTGCCAAGTTGGTATTATTTTGCTTGCAATAGTATGTACTTTCTACATGTAAAATGATAAATTCTGAGAGGACTAAAATTCCAAAGGGAAAATCCATCATTATGTTATACTCCGTCAATCGTACTCAGGTGTGTTCTCTTGAATGACCATAACTTTTTTATTTTTCCATTAAATTTTGCCAAGTTGGTATTAATTTGCTTGCAATAGCCTCTACTTTCTACATGTAAAATGATAAATTCTAAGAGGACAAAAATTTTAATAGGGAGAATCCATTATCTTATACTCCTTCAATTGTACTCAGGAGTGTTCTCTTGAATGACCATAACTTTTTTATTTTTCAATGAAATTTTGCCAAGTTGGTATTATTTTGCTTGCAATAGTATGTACTTTCTACATGTAAAATGATAAATTCTAAGAGGACTGAAATTTTCATACGGAAAATCCATCATCATGGTCATAATACTCTGTCAACAGGAATTGGAGTGTTCACGTAATTGATTACCATAACTTTTTGTACTTTTCATTGAAGTTTATTAGTTGCCAGTTTGGAATACAGTTAGGTGTTTTTGTTATAGCATTCACACAGTTAATCAAACCTAATAAATTAATTTGTGTGTATTTTTTTTTAAAAATTAGAAAATGACCAATGGCAAATGGGAGACTTTTTTTAAGTTTCTAAAATTTCAATAAATTATTTGAAAAGGGGGAGCTTTATCTGCCTTATAAATACATTGTTACTTTTCAAAAATAGAAATTATGTTTTCAAAGTCAGATACCTGCATTCATATAAAATATATATTTATTTGACCCCTAAAATTCATCTGTGAAACATGAGCAGTGCAAGTTTTCGCCTTTTTATTCATGCAAATTCACTTGGCTGAGTACTTTTATTTGATAATAACGCTCTCCAAACGAAAACGGTACCATGATTAAAAATATTTCAACATTCATTTAAAGTAAAAATATATAGTCGTTATAGAATACTTTATTTAGATTGGAACGAAACGCCCGGAGTGAATCCACATAGTCGAGACGAATACACACAATACACTGTTCCGATCTAAATCTCCGTTACGTTTTTTTTATAGTAAACATTCACAGTCTGTAAATGCATTGATGCAACTGTGATGCATGAACAGGAAAGTCCGAAGTCAGAAGTGGCTGAACTTTTGCAGTCTGCTGAAAGGATTAATTCACGTACTTTTAAATCAATGTAGTCTCATTTATATTCATTTTATTGAGATATTGGTTTAATACGTAATGCTTGAATTAGTCCACAATCACCTCAGCGCAAATTAATAAGTCAAAAGGTGCTACAGTTCCATTCAGCATATTCAGTTATGGAATTCCCTCCTATGTATAAGGAGCACTCGAGAAGGTACTTTCATAAAATAAGTTTATTCAGGATATAACTTTGGGCATTACAGCCCATCAGTTTACAAAATGACAATATGACATACAAAATATGATAAAATTGACTCTCAATGAGGTGAAACAAATTGAAACATTTTAACAGGTTGGAAGTATTTCAGCAATTATAATACACTGTATAACCAAAACCCATTACAAACCTATTTCAATGATATTTTCAAAAATGGCAATTATTTTAGCTACCATTCATCATGTTCCTTGTAAAATCAAGATAGATCTATGCAGAAGTCTATTTTTGGTTTATGATAGTCAAGACTAAAGAATAACAATTTTATATCTTAGACAACCATGACAACAGCATGTATATTGGGTACATCCCACTAATTATTTTTAGAATCGGTAGGAGAAGAAAGTAGTGCAGAAAAAATTACAAGTTCCTTAAATTGCAGACTTGCATAAAAAAAATTGGGCAGGTGTACTGAACTGAGCCTCACACTTGTTGATAAGGAGTATCTTTCCTGCCAAAAAAGCTTTGAAAATGTAATTTATCAAGAAGATCAGCCGAATTATTTTGTGTATTATAACGCCAGTGAGAATTCTGAAATTCCCCTACTTTCACTTTCATTTTTAGAGGTTCCCGCAGACAGACGCATTTTGCCGGAAAAATCTGACATGCCACCTCGAGATTTTAACCAAGGAAAGACAAGTTGATGTCCTTTGATTTGAGGGGTCACTCACTACCGAACGAAAATTAGGGACATCGCTATGAGAAGAAACGTTAACATTGTCGCCTATGGGAAAACAATTAGTGGACTGTACCCATATTAGGAAACCTATAAGTAAGTGAAAGATGTCATAAATCTTGAATTTATTTCAAAGTTGTTGTTTTGTATTATTTTAAATTGTTCAAATTTACGAAAAAAACAATTCTTATATTGTTGATACACATTTTTAAACAAATTGATTCATAAATAAAGTGTCTAGCCCCCCCCCCCCCCCCCCCCCCCCGGAACAGTCAACATGTATCACCCATTGTTTACACATGTATCATGTAGATTAAATGTATCGATTATATAATTTATTTATTCTGAATCGTAAATGTATAATTTGATTAAGAAGCAATTATGTAGAAGTACATGCTCCACTGTGGTTTATTTTCAATACACAAAAATTCACAAATGAGTTCGGGATCGGTATTCAATCGGGGTCAAGGTCGAAGTGAAAGTAGACTTAGCAGAAAGTTATCAAAACTGTTCAGGGCAGTGTTAAGCAGTATATAGGTGATGGGCATTTGTATTTTACACAGGAGGTAAGAGGTATACCTTAGTACAATATTTGTAAATAACAATTTAATGTTTTTGGAACATGTCGATGATCAGCACGTCACATATGCATACTTGACATACATCATTTCAGATCAGTTGCGCGGTCAAGCTGGGTACAGTTGTCTGGGAGTTAAACGATGTGTGTGAACATGCATTTTAACTGATTTTTCTCATATTTTTTAGCAATTGCATTACATGTATTTGTTGAATGTTCAATTATTGTCAGTAAAACATGATTTTTACCTATTCTGCTGAATTAACTTAATTACCAATGTAAACACTGTGATTTCAGGTGGGAGCAAATTAATCATTTTTTAAATTAATTAATTTCAAGTAATGGGCATAAAAGGAATATGGTAAAATTGTACGTGTTGAATGTCTGTGTGTCTGTCTGTCTGCAAATGTGATATTGTACCATTTATTGTATTGATTTTTTTTTAAGGTTCATGGTGATTGGTACAGGGAAAACATGAGGTCCATGCAGATGGTAATTAAAACTATTGGCCAGCAAATGCACACCCATTTGAATAAATCTTTAAAAAGAACCAGCAAAATGTGACAGTCGGCAAAATATGTAAGTGTAAGTTTTCTAAAAAAAAAAATTTCATTGAAGTGGGGGATGGGGTGGGGGTGAGGAAATTTACATATTAAATAGGTGATCAGAATGTGAAAGTATTTAGCTACAACTAATCTGTACATGCACTGCTATATACATTTTGCAGCTCATATGGATTTTCTTTTTTTATTTAAGATTTTCAAATTAATTAGATCTACATCTTTGTTTTGTAAATCATGCATTATTAAGATAACACGGATATCAGAATTGAAATTTCATGAATATTTGACAGTCAAAATTATGCGATTTGTCAGGAAATTCAAAATTTTGTCTCATTTTCCTACAAATTACAAAATGGTTACCATGGAAACAAAACAACTTTAGTGAACTATTTATTTAATCTGCAACACCACATATTTTTATTTTTTAAAGTAAATAATAGTATATAAGCACTGATTTTGTCTTAAATGAAAAGTACGGGAAAAGTAATGATACACATGTATTGAGCTATCCATTATTATGATGTCATTGTGACGTCATAGATGAGTAAATTTGCATTGGTATAAAAATTGCTTTGAAACAAATGATTCTATATAGGATTATAAAGGCTTATAACTTTTTCATTCATAGTCCAAATTTCATGAATGATACATCAATGGACAGGAAATAATCAGTACTTTTTTATTTTACTACTTTCGGGGTATTTGTGAACTTCATTTTTTTGTCATTTCTGGAGAAACTATGAATTAGAGGGTGAAAAGTGGTCATATTTTGTGCGGAAATACATTAATTTTTTAAAATAAGTGAAATTGACCCAATTAAGTGCTTGATTATGATTTGACTATATGTATTTAAAGATACGAAGGTGATTAAGAATGGTATAAATGTGTTAATAGGCTAAAATTTGACTTAAAACTTGGGTGCAGTTTTGGCTAGATTGGAGCATTTTTTAAGGATATTACACATAGAACTGTAAATGCTGTAAAATCTTAATTAATTGATGAATTTTCATGAAACTTGGCATGATGTCTCTACTTATGCTCTAGATTGACAAACAGTGTGAAATATTGTAAAATCAAAAAAATGCTTTTTCATATTGGGTACATCCCACTAATTATTTTTAGAATCGGTAGGAGAAGAAAGTAGTGCAGAAAAAATTACAAGTTCCTTAAATTGCAGACTTGCATAAAAAAAATTGGGCAGGTGTACTGAACTGAGCCTCACACTTGTTGATAAGGAGTATCTTTCCTGCCAAAAAAGCTTTGAAAATGTAATTTATCAAGAAGATCAGCCGAATTATTTTGTGTATTATAACGCCAGTGAGAATTCTGAAATTCCCCTACTTTCACTTTCATTTTTAGAGGTTCCCGCAGACAGACGCATTTTGCCGGAAAACGAATCTGACATGCCACCTCGAGATTTTAACCAAGGAAAGACAAGTTGATGTCCTTTGATTTGAGGGGTCACTCACTACCGAACGAAAATTAGGGACATCGCTATGAGAAGAAACGTTAACATTGTCGCCTATGGGAAAACAATTAGTGGACTGTACCCATATTAGGAAACCTATAAGTAAGTGAAAGATGTCATAAATCTTGAATTTATTTCAAAGTTGTTGTTTTGTATTATTTTAAATTGTTCAAATTTACGAAAAAAACAATTCTTATATTGTTGATATACATTTTTAAACAAATTGATTCATAAATAAAGTGTCTAGCCCCCCCCCCCCCCCCCCCCCCCCCCCCCCCCCCCCCCCCCGGAACAGTCAACATGTATCACCCATTGTTTACACATGTATCATGTAGATTAAATGTATCGATTATATAATTTATTTATTCTGAATCGTAAATGTATAATTTGATTAAGAAGCAATTATGTAGAAGTACATGCTCCACTGTGGTTTATTTTCAATACACAAAAATTCACAAATGAGTTCGGGATCGGTATTCAATCGGGGTCAAGGTCGAAGTGAAAGTAGACTTAGCAGAAAGTTATCAAAACTGTTCAGGGCAGTGTTAAGCAGTATATAGGTGATGGGCATTTGTATTTTACACAGGAGGTAAGAGGTATACCTTAGTACAATATTTGTAAATAACAATTTAATGTTTTTGGAACATGTCGATGATCAGCACGTCACATATGCATACTTGACATACATCATTTCAGATCAGTTGCGCGGTCAAGCTGGGTACAGTTGTCTGGGAGTTAAACGATGTGTGTGAACATGCATTTTAACTGATTTTTCTCATATTTTTTAGCAATTGCATTACATGTATTTGTTGAATGTTCAATTATTGTCAGTAAAACATGATTTTTACCTATTCTGCTGAATTAACTTAATTACCAATGTAAACACTGTGATTTCAGGTGGGAGCAGATTAATCATTTTTTAAATTAATTAATTTCAAGTAATGGGCATAAAAGGAATATGGTAAAATTGTACGTGTTGAATGTCTGTGTGTCTGTCTGTCTGCAAATGTGATATTGTACCATTTATTGTATTGATTTTTTTTTAAGGTTCATGGTGATTGGTACAGGGAAAACATGAGGTCCATGCAGATGGTAATTAAAACTATTGGCCAGCAAATGCACACCCATTTGAATAAATCTTGAAAAAGAACCAGCAAAATGTGACAGTCGGCAAAATATGTAAGTGTAAGTTTTCTAAAAAAAAAAATTTCATTGAAGTGGGGGATGGGGTGGGGGTGAGGAAATTTACATATTAAATAGGTGATCAGAATGTGAAAGTATTTAGCTACAACTAATCTGTACATGCACTGCTATATACATTTTGCAGCTCATATGGATTTTCTTTTTTTATTTAAGATTTTCAAATTAATTAGATCTACATCTTTGTTTTGTAAATCATGCATTATTAAGATAACACGGATATCAGAATTGAAATTTCATGAATATTTGACAGTCAAAATTATGCGATTTGTCAGGAAATTCAAAATTTTGTCTCATTTTCCTACAAATTACAAAATGGTTACCATGGAAACAAAACAACTTTAGTGAACTATTTATTTAATCTGCAACACCACATATTTTTATTTTTTAAAGTAAATAATAGTATATAAGCACTGATTTTGTCTTAAATGAAAAGTACGGGAAAAGTAATGATACACATGTATTGAGCTATCCATTATTATGATGTCATTGTGACGTCATAGATGAGTAAATTTGCATTGGTATAAAAATTGCTTTGAAACAAATGATTCTATATAGGATTATAAAGGCTTATAACTTTTTCATTCATAGTCCAAATTTCATGAATGATACATCAATGGACAGGAAATAATCAGTACTTTTTTATTTTACTACTTTCGGGGTATTTGTGAACTTCATTTTTTTGTCATTTCTGGAGAAACTATGAATTAGAGGGTGAAAAGTGGTCATATTTTGTGCGGAAATACATTAATTTTTTAAAATAAGTGAAATTGACCCAATTAAGTGCTTGATTATGATTTGACTATATGTATTTAAAGATACGAAGGTGATTAAGAATGGTATAAATGTGTTAATAGGCTAAAATTTGACTTAAAACTTGGGTGCAGTTTTGGCTAGATTGGAGCATTTTTTAAGGATATTACACATAGAACTGTAAATGCTGTAAAATCTTAATTAATTGATGAATTTTCATGAAACTTGGCATGATGTCTCTACTTATGCTCTAGATTGACAAACAGTGTGAAATATTGTAAAATCAAAAAAATGCTTTTTCATATTGGGTACATCCCACTAATTATTTTTAGAATCGGTAGGAGAAGAAAGTAGTGCAGAAAAAATTACAAGTTCCTTAAATTGCAGACTTGCATAAAAAAAATTGGGCAGGTGTACTGAACTGAGCCTCACACTTGTTGATAAGGAGTATCTTTCCTGCCAAAAAAGCTTTGAAAATGTAATTTATCAAGAAGATCAGCCGAATTATTTTGTGTATTATAACGCCAGTGAGAATTCTGAAATTCCCCTACTTTCACTTTCATTTTTAGAGGTTCCCGCAGACAGACGCATTTTGCCGGAAAACGAATCTGACATGCCACCTCGAGATTTTAACCAAGGAAAGACAAGTTGATGTCCTTTGATTTGAGGGGTCACTCACTACCGAACGAAAATTAGGGACATCGCTATGAGAAGAAACGTTAACATTGTCGCCTATGGGAAAACAATTAGTGGACTGTACCCATATAATATGACAGTAATTCTTTTAAACAGTAATATAAGCTAGAGTAGAAATATCAAGGTAATGATTTTAAAATGTTGAGTTTTAATGAATTACATGTATATGGCAACAAGCTTTCAAAAGTAATTTTGACCCTTGACTGTATTAAATTAAAAGAAGATGGACTGTTTTTCCCTGTACATTAAAGAGATCAAAACAATTTCCATTCTCCTGTAGGATAAAATATTCTATAAATCATTTTGATAGAGAACTTTTAATCCTATTAGTGTCAATTATAGAACTTCTTGTCCCATTTCATACATTATGGGATAAAAAATCCCATGTAGGGTTAAAAATGGGAGTTTTGATTCTATAGGAGAAAAAATCCCACAGAACTCATTTTTCTCCCACAGAATAATGGTGGGATATTGGTTAGGAGAGAAAATCCCACCATAATCCCATGGGATTCCTTGATTGCAGGTGTAATATCTTTTAAACTAGAAGATATTCAGGTGTGAAGGTTAGTCCATGTTGTTCGATCAAAAAAATCCCACCAGATGACATAAATGGTTTCCATGTATCTTTGGAAAAGTGGTTGGCGAAAGTCCGGACAAATGTCGTGTCCGGAGTTAAATGTCGCACTGTTTATGACGGATTCTTACATTATGCTACTATCAAACTTGAATGCAAGGACTTGCATGCACGTGTGCGCGCGCAATGCGTTAAATGACCGATTTACTTGATATAGTCGTAATTTTTTTTATGAAACGTTTCAAAATTCAAAGAATAGAAACACATTAAAAGTGTAGTCACGATGATATAGCTTTCATGCATTGCACCTTCGCGCGCGTGCAATGATCAAATGACTTGTATACTTGATATGGCCGTTACTTTTATATTTCTTTATGAAATGCTTTGATGACCTTGACCTTTGACCTTGACCTTTGACCCCTTGACCCAAAGGTCACAATCCAGCTCAAGTTCGTAGATGTATTTACAAACTCACTTTAACAAATGCTTAGAATAAAAAAGTCAACCCCCCCCCCTTCTCCTTAAAAAAAAAATCAATAACAACGTAGAAAATTTCTCTGAAACTCGATCAACACCTGGGATCGACATAAAATTTCACTTAAGGTGCAGAAAAGACTTCATAGAAAGTTTCCTGAAAGTTTTACGGTAAGTCTCTAAAGTATATAGAAATTATGAATTTTTACGGCAAAAATTACAAATTCTGTCGTGTTTGAAATTTAAGTGCAGACGAACAAAGATATGATATAAACCTTTTAAAGCCTATTTCTCCAGATGTCGTTAATAGCATTCAATTCTACTGATATGAATTAATATTTTAATACCAAGCATTCTTCTTTTATTTCACCATTGAAATTTATCTGAATTTTTTTTAGAATTACACAATCCCAAGAAATAGCGAGTTTCGGTATATTAAAAAGCAATACACGTTTCTTTCCAGTAAAACCTCACGTGTTTGAATTCATGAAAAAATATTGATAAGGGGGTGTTAAACAATACCTGTCACATTAGCTGACACCAAAAAACCAGGGTACGTACACGACATTTTCTGATTTATTTGCATATGCAAACAGGGCTACCCTCAAATCCACGTGTTTTCCATGTCTTTATAAACATCACAAAAACACCCCAGGAAGTAGCCTCCTATGCCCTGGAGAAATAGTTCCTGTCAAAAAACTTTATTTATTTATAGAGTAGATAAAATTTCCTAGGCACAGGTACCAGAGTTGTCAAACTGGCCTGGAAGGAAATTAAAAAAAACTCTCAAAAGAAAGGAAAATCGGCTTAATGTATGGACCTACAATTGACTAAGTTCATTTTGATTGGTCAATTACCGGTGTGGTACCCCTAGTCGCCTTGAACCCAGTCCTGTCTTTCTGAAGAAAACCAACTCCGAGCCCGATGTAAAAATCTTAGTAGAGAAATGAGAATTTGAATTTTGCTGCCTTATTATGTTCCCCAAACGAAGTTTGGGAACATATTGTTTTTACTCTGTTTCTTATTCTTATTATTATTATTATTCTTTTTTCTTCTTATTTCTTCTCCGGTACTTTTTTGTCCGCGAGTGTTCTCAGAAACTGTTCACCCAACTGAGCTAAAACCTTTTTAGGGTTAATAGGTGTGTTGTGTAGGTGTGCGGAACGAAGGTCATTTTGCGCGCATACGCCTGCACGTGCGGGCGCGTGAAATGACTGAAATGACTAATATATTTAATATAGCCATAACTTTAACATTTTCCGATGAAATGCTTTGAAACTCATTATATAAGGATATATTAATAGTGTAGATAATGTGACACTGTCAAATTAGCAAGAACTCACGCGCATTTACGTGCGCTTCGCTCTGATTGGCTGAAACAAAAATCTCAATATCTTTTCCGTTTTTTGACGAAATGGTATGAAATTTAAAATATAAGCATACTTTAAGATGTCCTACAACATGATGTATAACATTTGTCATGAAAGCATGCGCATGCACGTGCGCTGCAATCTGATTGGCTTAAACTTCAAATGGCTGTAACTCCCTTGTTTTTCAACCAACCACGATAAGATTTAGAACATAGACAGACACAATAGACTCCTATAAGAAGTTACGGTCATCATGCACATGCATGCACGCGCATGCACGTGCGCTTTGCTCTGATTAGCTGAAACAAAAATCTCAATATCTTACTTGTTTTTTGACAAAATACTTTGAATTTTAAAACATAATCATACCTTAATACGTCCTAAACTATGATATATAAAAGTTTTCAAGAAACCACGCCCATGCACGTGTGCTGCGATCTGATTGGCTTAAACTTTAAATGCCTATAACTTTTTTGATTCTCAACAAAACAGGATGAAATTTAGAATATGAATAGATATGACGGATTCTTACATTATGCTACTATCAAACTTGAATGCAAGGACTTGCATGCACGTGTGCGCGCGCAATGCGTTAAATGACCGATTTACTTGATATAGTCGTAATTTTTTTTATGAAACGTTTCAAAATTCAAAGAATAGAAACACATTAAAAGTGTAGTCACGATGATATAGCTTTCATGCATTGCACCTTCGCGCGCGTGCAATGATCAAATGACTTGTATACTTGATATGGCCGTTACTT